CGAAACAAAGCCATCAATGCGGCGATTGGCGAAGGCTGGAGCTACCCCACTGCCGCTGCTCATCAAGAAACCTTCACCCCATACGTCCATCACGTCATCGCCGCCCACCATGCAAAAGTTTTCACCAAAATCGAGGAATTTTTCCCCGACTTAATTCACAGACAAGCCACTCGCCTCCGCAGAATGCCGCAAAGTTACAACTAGCCGAGACCGCCCGAGGACGACCCAGACAACCCGGAAGCGCCGAAGAAACTGCCCTGACCGACGCTGATTAAGCGCAACTTTAAGCGCACATCACGCTGCCAACTTACCTGGAGCCTGATTAAGCGCAACCTAAGCACTTCACGCCGCCAGAAACCAGGGGCCTGATTAAGCACGCTTAAGCACCCCCTGCCCATCCAGCCAACCAAAGGCACCACCGCTTAAGCACACCCGTGCTTAAGCACCAGACGTTCGCCCTAAAGCGTCTTTCACCACCTGCGCCCTGACGGCACTCCACAAACCGGCTGGGGCTAATCCCCCAGTTTGGCAACGAGGGATACTTCAGCCGGTACGGGCCTGGAGGCCGACTGAGCTTTCAATCCAGAGGACAACCAGTACATCGAGACGACGCCGTTACGTCCCCTTCCTTGCCCTCCTCCACGTATCTTTACTTCAATTAGGGTTTTTACGTAACTTTCCCTATTTCTCAAAAATTCAATCTACCCCCAAAAATGTTCTTTTTAAAACTAGGTAAAGTCTAAACTTAAAGCTGAGCCTAAGTTCCCACTTGCAAGTTGACATTTCATAAAGATAAAATATTTTTTTTCTGTACTTTGATAATACCTTTTAATTTTTCTAAGTTTGAATGTTTGAACAGTATTTGCACTTTGTTTTCCCAGTTTAGAACGGGGTTTTATAATTTTTTGTTTGTATTCACTAAAGAAGTCATTTGTTATTACTTATTTTTCTCACTACCCCATGTAAGCAGGCCAAAGTTGTAGATGGAGTTTAAGTCCCCAAGGAAAATTTTGAAATACAGTTCTTTGGCTTCACATCGTAACATCCCTCATACACCGAAAACTCCACGACTCAAAGACCGCCTTTCACCCCACATAAAGCGCAATCAGCAATAGCTTGAACTGAAGATTGAAATAGAGGTTGAGATCCCATGGGAGATATTTAACTAAAATTTGACAAAAATCTACAATATATTCTAGTTTTAGGGACATCACAGCTTGAAAAGCTTTGTTGAAGGTAACATCATGGACACAAAGAGTTGTGGTTGCCACAATCTTTTCAAAATGAATCGTAGAAGTAAAAATGTGAAGACCAACCTTTTACGTTAAAATAATAAGCGTCAGAAGATTTTTAGAGATATAGTCAAAATGTGCACAATAAGGTTCTTCAACGGGGTTGAATGGCTAGCATGTGCGTCCCAATGTCAATTTAGCAGTTATAAATGATTATACTTTTGTTGATAGACACACAATTTATAAAACTGTGGAACTATAAAACTTGGGAGGCGAATTCTTATTGTTCATGACTGAGTGCTGCCACAAGAAGAAATACTACCACTTACAGATTTAAACTTCAAAAGATTTATAATAATGATCATAGTTTATTATTAATTTATAATTTTGTCAATATGAATGTTAACTTGTAATTTGCAACTTCATTTTTTAAGTTTTGACTTTATCCAGTGTAAACGCTAGTGCCGACTACCGCCTCCGTGTGTGTTCTTGGCATAGAGTAAGTAACACTCCGTTCTTGGTGTGTTGTTCGTGTTGTTGTGGTCTGTTTACAAAACCCACCGGGGTTGCAATGCAACGACGCTTCTAACCTGCACCCGACTTTTATCGTTGCCAACCTCAAAACTTCACTTGAACAGTGAACGAAACTAAACGTTTTACCAGCTCGAATCGAATGTTTGTTCGTTCATTTTGAAAAATTGGGTTCTGATCATTATAAAAATTCATCAAAGATACCCACTGAGTTCATTTCAACGCCTAACACTACCACTTTTGTTGCCACCGATACGTTCAAAGGTTGCCTACATTGCGAGGTGACACTTTCGTCGTGGTTCACTCGGGCCGGACTAAAGGGCTTCGCTAGTTTAAGTTTTAGTTTCAGTGAAAGGAATAGGGGGCTCAGCCAATAAGAGTAAGGTGATCAATTCACGGGTATCTTACCCTTCGTTATTGCACTAAGTGCACTTGTCTTTATCGAAATACAACAAATTGAATCTAAATCTGCTAGGGGGACTCTCTAGAAGTTTCCCAATAAGAATAAGTCTTCAATTTAGAATGATGAAGGCAAAAGAAAAAGCAATGATAGAACAGCTAAAATAATTAGACAAACACCTCACAACCCTTGTTCGGGAAATTGTTGTGTATCTTGTCACTCAAAGTTCAGATTAAAAATGCACTTAGGACATACATGGGAGATATAACACATTTTGTACATGGGTTCTTAAACACGTGTATAATTAAAAAAGAAACATGAAGAATGGCTTTACAGTGAAAACTGCATTTCCTACTGCACAACCTCAAAAAAGCTAGAAAGTTTATGTCTGCATCTACAATGCAATGTCTGCATCAGCAAAGCAAAACCTGTTTAAATATATAGTAAAAATAATACAGACTTAACTGTTACGGCACAAAGCTCTTTCCCTTGTCAAAGCAAAAAGGCTTTTGTGCCAGTCTTATTCAAGTCGAAAAACGATCACAAAAAAATGAGACATGCTTTTTAAGATTACAAGAGCACATGAAATTCTTCTAAATAAGAACTGGTCCGTAAATAAGAACGATGAAGGAAAGAGGAAAAAGCAATAATTGTAGTCTCAAAAATAAGATGAAAAACTCAGAATCTATGTAAGAGAAACTGCTGTGTGCCTTGTCTTTTAAAGTACAGATTAAAATGCACGTAAGAAAAAAGGTAGGAAAATCACACATTTTTTACATGGGTTCTTAAACACGTGTATAATAAAAAACATGAAGAATGGTTTAACAGGGCAAACTGCATTTCTTACTTAACAACCTCAAAAAAGCTTAATGGTTTATGTCTGCATCGGCGATGCAAATTCTGCATCAGCGATGCAAAACCTGCTTAAATATAAAGTAAAAATAATACAGACTCTTAACTCTTACGGCCCAAAGCCTTTTCACTTGTCAAAGCAGAAAAGGCTTCGATGCTAGTCTAAATCAAGTCGGATGTCAATCACAAAAATTAAGACATACTTTTTAAAATAACTAGAGCAGATAAATTTTTTTTAAATAAGAATTGTTTTCTAAATGAGAATGATTAGGGCAAGAGGAAAAAGCAATGATTGTACAGTTACAAAAATAAGATAAAAAAACTCAGAATCCATGTAAGAGAATCTGCTGTGTGCAGTGTCACTAAAAGGAAAGATTTAAAATACACTTAAGAAAAACATTAGAAAAGTCACACATTAATATATGGGCTCTAAGACACGTGTATAATAAAAAACATGAAGAATGGTTCAACAAGGCAAACTGCATTTCTTACTGAACAACCTCAAAAAAGCTTAATGGTTTATGTCTGCATCGGCGATGCAAATTCTGCATCAGCGATGCAAAACCTGCTTAAATATAAAGTAAAAATAATACAGACTCTTAACTCTTACGGCCCAAAGCCTTTTCACTTGTCAAAGCAGAAAAGGCTTCAATGCCAGTCTAAATCAAGTCGGATGTCGATCACAAAAATTAAGACATGCTTTTTAAAATACCTACAGCAGATGAAATTTTCCTAAATAAGCATTGTTTTGTGAATGAGAATGATCAAGGCAAGAGAAAAAAGGAATGATTGTACAGTTACAAAAATAAGATAAAAAAACTTAGAATCCATGTAAGAGAATCTGCTGTGTGCAGTGTCACTGAAAAGAACGATTAAAAATACACTTAAGAAAAACATTAGAGAAGTCACACATTAATACATGGGTTTTTAGACACGTGTATAATTAGAAAAGAAACATGAAAATGGCATAACAGGGAAAACTGCATAACTCCTACGGCCCAAAGTTCTTTTACTTGTTAAAGCAAAAAAAGGCTTCAATGCCACTCTAATTAAAGTCGGATGTCGATCACAAACAATAAGACAGGCTTTTAAAGATAACTTAAGCACATTAAATTATTCTAAGGAAGAATTGTTCTGTTAATAAGAATGATGAAGGCAAGAGGAAAAAACAATGATTGCACAGTTACAAAAATAAGATGAAAAATTCAGAAAACATGTAAGGGAAACTGCTGAGTGTCTTTTCACTTAAAGTACTAATTTTAAATTCACTTTAAAAAAACGCTAGCAAGAAAGAACGTCTTTTTCAACAAA